TTAACCTCGGCGCGCATGCGCAGCGAGGGTTACAGTACTTGGGTCTGTCTGTGCGTGTGTGTCATGTCTGTTACTCTTCATCTCACTTCCGAGTGTCTTTCGTCTCACAAAGGATACCACTACTGAACGGGCAATGAAGGTCAGAAAATAAAGGCGGTTTCCTGAAAACTGCTCCGTTGCAAAGCTAGAGCGCGAAAAGCCAATATGCAAATATACAACGGACGCGTCTACCAGTCGGATCGATCCGCGTGCTCTGCGTACCACGGACGGCACCAGAGATGCAACGCAGGCGTGTATCGCCTCTCGCATGCTATCTAGTAGTGTAGTTAGCCCGCGTCAGACTCTGCGCGAGTGGGCAAGAGACCCGCGAGTAACAGCTAAACTAAAACCCAACCCATCAATTAGTGGTACGGCGCATGCGTTTACTTACGCGTGCGCGTCACAGTGAGCGCCGAGGGTTTGCACTTCAGTGCTTTTCATCTCTGTCTGTTACCGACGTTTTCTGGCCACGCTGCGCGCACGAAACAGGTTAAAGCGGTATGATCTGGTTGTTCATGATACCTGGGTTTATTTTTACAAAGGTGATTTTCGTAAAACTACTGCGTTCTAAAGTTATGGCGTGAAAACCAAGTTTAACAAGCCAATATGGTAATTAGCAAGCACAGGCTGACCTCGACTGCGTTCGCGCGCTCTGTGTATCTTGAACGGCACAAAAGTCACAACGAAGGGCATGTATCGACTCCCGCATGCAATCTACTACTTTAGCTAGCCCGTGCCCAGACTTCTCACTGCAGGCTACTAGCGCGATACGACGAGTAAGAAAGAAAAGCCCATCTCAATTAGTGTTACACTGCGCATTGCGCAGTTCGGCCGAGGGTTTGCACTTTAGTGCTTTTCATTTCTTCCTTTTGTGCAAGCCATCCCTATATCCCCCTCATTTGAAGAATTGATTTTTCCACTTGTTTCCACTATTTTTTTAAAAATTATGACAACACTGCATTTTATTGTTACAGTCACTCTGATGTTCATGGGTATGTGTAGATAGGTTACCAAGGACAAACTTCAAATTTTTTAAAGCTTGTAGCTAATGGGCTGCATAGTGCCTGAGCAGGAGCTAGATACCATATTCACCTCAGGTATTGTCTGCAACAAGGATGTAATAGGTTATGGCACATGGTTGTAGTTTCATGGGCAGGCTTTGGTAATCAGGGCTACAACCTAGGGGGGACAAATGAAGGCCTGCACCTGGCAATTGCTCGCGTAACACCGAGCTGACTCTGCCAACCGTGTAAATCAACAGAAAAACGCAAGCTAGCAAGTTGGAAATGTGCACACTGACTTACAAAGGCACTGGAGGCTAAGAGTTTCTCTGCAGGTCTGTCAACTCGCCTGGTGACAGCAATACACGCGCACAGCGCATTCCACAACGCCTCAGCATGGCGCATGCGCGCGGCTTACTGATGCTGAGTTAGCAGCAAATGGCGTTGTTCAGTGTCGACCATGGAAGAGCTCCATGATCTACCGTAGTGACTTACGGCAAGAAATAAACGATCGCTTGATGTCCGTGCATACCTCCGGCGAAATTGGAGACGTTCAGTGAAAAAATCATCGCTTCAACTGGTTCTGGTAAGGAGATAGCGGGATTGAAGAAGATGATGATGACACGAAAATCGTGAAGTCGAACGAAATCTCGCGTGGAGAACCGAAGGTGCGTATGAGGTCTTTGGGAACATGTATAGGTAGATATGGGCCCGTAGACTATTGCTAGTGTGTTGAAGGCCTGAGTCTCAACGAGTTTTAGGCGTTTGCTACGCGGCGCACGGCTGAGATTCGCGGTCGTCAGCCCTCGCCGTATACTAGAGGCGTCTACAGACGCTCTAATAAGCATGATGAAAACACGAAAACTTCCTCGCTCTCGCTCGCCCATAATGCGCGTTGCATTTCCGTTCTTCCTGCATACACTATCGTAAGCAAATGCAATCCTATGCTGTGTGTGCATCTCCTTAGCTTAAAAGCATATATAAACTTCGTATGGCACTTATGGATGCTCTGCATCTATTACCATTATATGTAAATGGCGCCCAAAGGCGTTAAATTATTGCTAAGCCAACGCATAATCCATGCTGTGCGTTAATCTCCTTACGCTCAGCGTGCGCAGATCAGGCGCGGTAGAGTTCCAGCGTGGACTGACCAGTGGCGGCGGCGGCGGCCCGGGGTGCCGGCTTATTGGTAGGTGTGGACTCTGTACACCAGGTCTGTGAGACCTGCGTCGGACTGGGAGGGCAGAGGAAACAGTCGTACAGTATGCCACTAGGCTGGATCATTTGATTTCCACCAAATGAAGTATGGTATATAGCTAACGAACATGCATTATCGTCAACATGTAGTATCTATTATACTAGGTTATGTATATACTAGGTTGCTACACCAAAGTGGCTTCACATGTATATTCTCCAGCTGAGCCCAGCAGAACCAACAGAAAATAATGACTTGATGCCAAAAAACAGTATATATAAATCTCTGAGTGACAGACAAGAAGGTACACAGACATGTGCACATGCGTGCAATACACACAGGAAGTGCATGATTGTACTAAGAGCACTATCTCTGAATAACAGACAAAAATGCATCTTTGCTAAGTTCTACATTTCCAATCTGTTTCATTTTCTTCTTCCCCTCCTTTTGCTTTCTCAGTAGCTTCATCTTCCTTGTTATGTCACCTCCATACTGTGAGAGATTAGGGATGGAGGGAACACTTACAGTGTTTATTGTACTTTGCGTGGGCGAATCAAAGGCGCCGCCAGTACTATATTCATCATACAGAACAGTTTTTGAATGGAACTGTACTATATCACACGAACTGTACTATATCCGCGGATTAGCGTACGCTTTGCGGGAATGACGCCCTCGGCGGCCTTTTCGTAGACGGAGTTCGACTCAGACGGTGGCACAAACTCAATTGCAAAATGACATAAACTGCTGAGTATTTCATGAAAATGAAATGAAGTATCCTTTGTAGAGAGTCATGGAGGTCCCTTATGCGGAGGTTCCACTGTATATCATCTCAGTAAAGTTGCGAGTATTGTGTGAACGTATGTTGGCCTTACGTACACTAGCACATTGCAGTAACGTTCTTCTGAGAGCCTTCACTCTAGACCAAAGATTAATAATCTATCTCTTGTGAGAGTACTACATAAAGGTCTACATACGTTCAGACAAACAACGCAAGTTGCATACATGTGGTGGGGTGTGGGAATTGGTGACTGCGGGGTTGTGAATAATCGCTACATGTACAGTAATCCATAGTGCTTACGTCTCTCTGGACATGATCCTCTTCCCAATGGCGGCCTGAATCGCCACATTCAACAACTGCCTGTATAAGAGAATGGAGTGTTTGCTTTCGATCATGGAAAAATGCCTACACTCTAACTTTCACGAAAAATCCTTTTAGCTGGGGACCATATTTTGTGCAGCATGTCAAAGTATGCTTAATGCTATATACTGGTCTTTGGAGCTTTTTTACCCTCAATAACCCTCTCCTATATCAGTAGCTAGGTGTCATACCAAGTGAGCTACAGTAGCAAGTTTTTCCAAGAATGATTTAACGCAGAGTGTACAGCTACATACCTGTGGATGTTGGTCTTTGAGTTTCCCACAGATGGTCTTGCCAGTTGAGTAGGCTTGTCCTGTGTACCACCGAGGCCAGAGCATCCACCACACGACCATTCAACATGACTCCAGCTGTGTGGAGTTAGAGATACACATTCAGAATACAGCGTGTTTTCTGAGCTCTTTGTCCTAACTATTGGGTTGACTGACAGTAGAGTAGCTGACCTTCACCAGAGGAGCTGGTTCATATCCATGCTCTTCATAATCAAAACTACATTGGCACAAACAGACACATTGTAAAAGACAATTAGCTCCACAAATACACACGTCAAGCATGCATGTAGATATATTTGGCCAATAGCAAAACTATTGTAACAGGGTTTCATTTGATTGCACGTAGCGTGGAAGTAACCACTACTGCTATGCTCATGAGTACAGGGGTCATTTGCATACGAGTACACGTGCTATCACATGCGCCGCCTCCAACACCGTAACATAAATCTCTGGTTGAGTGTTTGTTGTCTGCTAGATATAGAAGTACACAATCAGCTGCATCATGTGAAATGCAGTTCATGATGTAATGCTCAACACCTCAAGGAGATACAGACTCACCTGGCATATCCCGAGGAGAGGGACTTGACCTGGTCGTTGAAATCAATGACCACCTCACTGAGAGGAAGAGTGTACTTGAGCAGGACTTTGCTCTGGTCCATATACACTAGCTCCTGCTGAACCCCACGGCGATCCTGAGGATTAATAGCCAACACTCTAGTATAGTAGATGAGTATCAATTACGTATTTAAAAACACGAATTGTTCAGCCAGTCGTGATGAATCAGACTACAATATTATAAATGTGCATAGGAAAACATAGCAGGTCTATTACACCACTTTATGCATTTATAACTGAGGTATGGCCTTTGATGAGGAAATTAAAAGCTTAACCCACTACATAGAGGAATGCAACACATTGTTTGGCGAGTGAGCACGAGCAGGTCAATACTGAGCGCGCATTGGTGACGGTGCTAGCAGTGCAATACTTCTCGCATTTTTTATGGAAAATCCACCCATTGAGACGACTAGGTAGGCTCGCTTTGCTCGCCAATAAAGATTTTTTTAGCATAACCGGCCCGGTTAGTTTACTCTGGAACAGTGAAAGATTTTGTGCTGCAGTCTGTGCTACGTATGTCCTTTCAATCAAAAACACTGTATAGTGTAGGTGTAACAAGTGTAGCTAGGTAATTTGCTGGACCTGACAGAGGGCGAGGAGTTTACCGAGGTGTTCATCAGGAGTCACCAGAGTCCCCAGGACCACTGGCTCTCTGAACTCCTCCACTGTGTAAACCTCCTCTGGGAACTGGGGGGAGAGGAGGTAGGATTATGTACACCGTTTTGTGCAGTATACTAGAGTAATGTAAGCACGTAAACCGCAGACAACTTTCTTCACCGGGTTTCCTCAGATTAATTATTCCACACATCTCGCTCCCAATCTCATGCCTGGTAGACTGAAAGAATGGTGAAGAGGGGTAGCCAGAAAGAGAAAGATAGAAAGGAAAGAAACCCAGCTCCACCAGAGGGATTCGAACCCACTACCTATGCTTCCCGCCAGGGCAAGTGCACTACTAAATGGAGGGTGTAAAGGTCCTGTTTCTGCCCTCACATTTGCAGGGGAATACTACTGGTAAGGTTGAGAGAGACACGTAGCACTCAGAACACCCCGAGATCCTCTACGTATGTACTACGATGCCACCATGATGTGCAGACAAGGTGGACGGAGCAAGGTGTGCACTAGGAACGACATGTCATTACAATTCTCCAAAATGAAAAACGTCCTTAGTATAGTACCAGAGGTTGACCTGTGCAGGGTTAAGAAATGTCTGTTCCGATCCGTCTCTGAACACACACTGATGGATGAAATTCTGTTCTGACATCACACATTTATTCGTGTTGACGACCAACCTTTGTAGGGAACACTGGGAGTTGTCACCAGAATGGATGCATCAAATTCCTGGATTATAATGATCACACGACTTATTGAATGTGAAAGTAAAAAAGCTCCCATGTTTTAGTGGAAAATTCATGTTTGCGTTTCGTTTTGTCATGACATAAATTTTCCTTGCCGACAAAACTGCCACGAGTTGAACTCTGAAAACATGCTCTCTTTTTGGTTTCTTGAGTTAGCTACACTATATATTGCAGCATGTGAGCATTAATGAGGCTGCAATGCAAAGGCAAAGCAAACCAGAAACATGTAAACTACACCCAGCTGCTATGAAACTGGTATGCTATGAACTATAATTTCATGCACAGTGGTTGGAGGTTTGCCTTGTAGATTCGAACCCCTACCAGCTGAGTTGCCCTGGTAGCTCAGTTGGAAGAGCGCTCGCCTAGACTGCAGAGCGTCGTGGGTTCGAATCCCACCTAGGGCAGCTCTTTATTTTTCCCTGGAAAAAAGAGCTGTCCTAGGTGTAGTTGATTTGTTTGTTGTGTCTTTGCCTTTCTACCTCATAGTTTTCACATGCACTATATAGTAAAAGGGATCATAGTATAAGCCCCTCCCCCAGTCACACCTCCTCCAGTCTCTGCCTGAAGACGTCCATGTGTAGCAGCCCCAGGAACCCCAGTCTCCAGCCCTGGCCCAGAGCCACGCTGGAGTCCTGGAACACAGACACACTGCTGTCATTGAGGGTCAGTTTTCTCCAGGGCCGTCCGCAGCACTGGTACTCTGACTGGTCCATGGGTAGAACCCTGCAAATACCTGCAAAAGTACATAATTTTTTTGGATACGCACAATGACTGTTGACATCTTTGATACTCACACAAAGAATATAAATGAACTCTCGGCACGGATCTGAGTGAGAGTTGAGATACTTGAGTGTGTGTCTGTCTGTTACCATGTTCTCTAAATGCGAAGCCAGCAAAAAAGCAGTAAAGCGTAACCGGCTTGGTTTTAAACACTGCATTTAATAGTGCATGAAAATCAATCGAACAAACACTGTTTGTACCTGTGAAGGTAACAACGGAGGGTGAATGTCGACTCTTGCAATTCAATTGCCCGTGTCAGACTCTCAACCGACCGCACCCATAAAACAGTGGTTTAAACCTATGCATGTCAGCATGCTGAATTCGGGTTTTGGCTTGTACTGGCAACGCCTTGTAGGGATGAATCTCATTAGTTCAGAACCACAAGTGCTGCGCCTGAGCAAAGCCTTGTGGGGATGAATCTCATTAGTTCAAAACCACAAGTGCTGCGCCTGAGCAAAGCCTTGTGGGGATGAATCTCATTAGTTCAAAACCACAAGTGCTGCGCTCAACTCTGCCTTTATAAACTCGTGATGCCAGAGAGAGAAGTTGCGGTATGCTTTGCTGATGAGGGCTAACAAGCCCGAAACAGCTGTCCAGAGCTCCCCATCTTTTTTCTCTTGGCATCACATGGTCTATTGTTACATGTGTATGCGCTGGCAGGATATGGGTGCTTGCTGGCTTCATTGCCACGGCCCAATCCACTATGTCAGCATGCTGAATTCGGGTTTTGGCTCGTACTGGCAACACCTTGTGGGGATGAATCTCATTAGTTCAGAACCACAAGTGCTGCGCCTGAGCAAGCCTTGTGGGGATGAATCTCATTAGTTCAAAACCATCAATTGCTGCGCTCAACTCTGCCTTTATAAACTCGTGATGCCAGAGAGAGAAGTTGCGGTATGCTTTGCTGATGAGGGCTAACAAGCCCGAAACAGCTGTCCAGAGCTCCCCATCTTTTTTCTCTTGGCATCACATGGTCTATTGTTACATGTGTAGGGGTGAAGCGCTTAATACACTTAGTGCACCATTCATGTGTGCATACAGTGTGTGCAGTGCCTAGTGCATACCATTGGTTTAGCAGCTATGAAGCCAGGCAATGGAGTGACCTTTGACCCGGTGTGGTAGAAGGTATCTCCAACATGAGCCTCTGTGGAATTCCTCATTCCCAGCAGGACGTAGCCAACCTGCCCACTGTACCTGGGGTCGGTGGTAGAGAGGAGAGGCTAACATGAAAGTAATAGAGAAGAAAATTTCAAAGATGAAATGTTCACATTATGCAACTTTGTTGAAGTTTCAAATGCATGGGTACTACCATAATAATGAAAAGCATTGGAGTGCAAACCCTCGGCAAACTGCGCACGCGCGGTACCACTAATTGATGGGCTGGGCTTTTAGTATGTGTTTACTCGTGGTATCCCGCTAGTAGCTCGCGGAGAGTCTGACACGGGCTAGCTACAGTAGTAAATAGCATGCGGGAGTCGATACACGCCCTTCGTTGTGACTTCTTATGCCTTCAAGATACACAGAGCAAGCGGCCTAAGCTTGTGCTAATTAGCATATACTAACCGCATGCGCATTCTTCCGCAGCGATAAAAACTGGCCGACTATGCATTAGCCGTACAATGCTGGAAGCGCTGTAGCTCTGCAACGGAGCATTTTTCAGAAAAAAACGCTCATAATTTCTGACCTTCATTGCCCGTTGAGTACGTCGCATTGTTTGTGAGACGAACAGACATCCGAGAGGTGAGATGTAGAGTAACAGACCACAGACAGACAGACACACAGACCCAATGAAAAGCACTGAAGTGCAAACCCTCGGCGCACTGTGACGCGCACGCGTAAGTAAACGCATGCGCCGTACCACTAATTGATGGGCTGGGTTTAGTTTTAGCTGTTACTCGTGGTCTCTTGCCAGCGCACGCAGAGTCTGACGCGGGCTAACTACACTACTAGATAGCATGCGAGAGGCGATACACGCCCTGCGTTTGCATCTTCTGGTGCCTCCGAGAGTACGCAGAGCACGCGGATCGATCCGTCCGTTGTGTATTTGCATATTGGTTTTTTCGCGCTCTAGCTTTGCAACGGAGCATTTTCAGAGAAAACCGCCTTTATTTTCTGACCTCCGTCGCCCGTTGGGTAGATGGTATCGTTTCTGGACGAACAGACGTTCGAGGAGTGAGATATAGACTAACAGACAGACAAACAGACAAACCCAACTACAGTACCCTCGCTGCGCATGCGCGCCGAGGGTAATGAAAAGCACTGAAGTGCAAACCCTCAGCGAACTACGCACGCGCGGTACCACTAATTGATGGGCTGGGCTTTTAGTATGCGTTTACTCGTGGTATCCACGCTAGTAGCTCGCGGAGAGTCTGACACGGACAAGCTACAGTAGTAGATAGCATGCGGGAGTCGACACACGCCCTTCGTGTAACTTCTTATGCCTTCAAGATACACCGATAAAAATGGCCGACTACGCATTAGCCGTACAATGGTGGAAGCACTCTAGCTTTGCAACGAAGCATTTTCAGAGAAAACCGCCTTTATTTTCTGACCTTCATTTCCCGTTAAGTAGGTCGTATCGTTTGTGAGACGAACAGACATTCGAGAAGTGAGATTGAGAGTAACAGACACACAGACAAACCCAACTACAGTACCCTCGCTGCGCATGCGCGCCGAGGGTAATGATATGCAGGAAAGTATGCTGGGCATGATAGACAATGCAACAACGTCACATTAAAGATGTATGCATATACAGTATGCCATACCCATACCTTTGAAACTTTTTCTCACGTAATTAAGTTGCATCATGTATCATGGACCATAGTCTGTACATGTTATTAGGGCTACACAAAGGGGCCTAAAACCTGGACCTCTCTTGGAGTCAACAATGTGGCACAAATTCCACATGCAAAAGGCAACAAATTGCCACTAGATTCTCGCAGAATCCCCCTTAACATCATAGTGCCAATACTACTATACACAGCTCACAGTCTGGGGATGGGTACTCTCTTAGTCTGCAGTAAGCCCACCTCTGCCACTTCATAACTGAGTCCAGTATGATAGGACGACACCTCATCTCCTACACACACAGAGAACCAGACAAGAGTTTTATAAAGCATGAACTTAGAAAGACTGCACCCTGAAAGGGTGAATGCTGTTGTTGCTCCATATTCCTTTAAGCCTACTAGTTGATGTTAACCCATGTACACATGTTGGTAGTTGAGTAACTGTCTGTACTGTTGTATATCAGATTTCATATTCCATACTTCAAACTATGTACAACAGTTTTTTTGGGTAGTGAAGAATGCTGTACAAGGTTATTATAGCCCACGATGCATGAAAAGTATACCCACATAATCATAATATAGCATACCTACTCCAATGCTGCCATCTTTGACTGCCACGACGCACACGACTCCTCTATAGTGGTCATACCTGCACACACACACACCAACACCAGCGTCATTAATCCCGCCCACACACGTTACTGTATGTATCTCACATGACTCACCAGCTGTCAACAGCAGTACACAGAGAGGTTTGTCCCGTGATCCAGAAGGCCTATAGTGAAAAATAAATAATTGCCTGCAAAATATGGTTATATTTAAACCTTGGAATCTTTTCAATGATTGCGGAAAGCACTTTGTCTATTCCAGTCCCATGTTTAGCTGATATCTGACAAAAACATTAGGGGTTATCGCATTCAGAGCAGCCACACACAACATCACACACCTGTATGCCCTCTTCAGGACTGAATCCAAAGACGTTGTGTAACTGCTCATTGACTCTCTCAATGTTGGCGAGAGGAAGATCAATCTGAGCAGCAAACACAGCATGATACGCATTTCATGAACATTAGACAGAGATACTACGAGGAAGAAACATGTACACATGCACACACACACACACACACACACACACACATGCAGGGCTGCGCCAGAGTGCATACATAGTCCCTCTATCTCTTCATTTCTCCCCCTGAATATGTTTCGGAGGGGACACTTTGACCCCTACTAAATTTGAGTGTAAGGGGGTTGATTCTCCCCCAGCAATACCTAAATCACTAGAGCTAGCTCTGCTCATGCACAACCAAATTGTGCATGCATGTGTGGTTGCATACAGTCGTGCATTATATGAGCAAGAAACTTGTACACAGAAACACACACGCACACACATGCTTCAGAGGGGACACTTTGATCCCTAACAACAAAATTTGCGTGTAAGGGGGTTGATTCTCCCCCAGCAATAAATCTACCTCTGCTCATGCACAACAAAATAAATGGAAATTGTGCATGCATGTGTGGTTGCATACAGTCGAGGAACTGACCTTGTTGATGACAGGAATGATTGAGAGGTTTGCCTCAAAGGAGAGCAAGAAATTAGCCACAGTTTGAGCTTGAACACCCTACATAATACAATCCAAAGTCATAAGAGCAGAAATTTGCAACCTTTTTATCAGGAACTTCTTTGTGAATGTATGTGGCAAATTGCTAGCTAACACCACCACCATCCAAAGGTCCCAACCTGTTGAGCATCCACCAGTAGCACAACTCCCTGAGAGGCTGCCAGAGAGCGAGACACTTCGTAGCTGAAGTCAACGTGACCCTGCGTGATATCATATCAACAGACCATATACCCAAACTGCACATCAACACTTAGCCTACCACTAGGCCGTACATTGCTAAAGCTACATAAAATTTCTACTCTAAATGAAAAGCACTGAAGTGCAAACCCTTGACGAACTGCGCATGTGCGATACTGCTAATTGATGGGCTGGGCTATTGGTATGTGTTTACTCATGGTCCCCCGCTAGTAGCTCGCGGAGAGTCTGACACGGGCTAGCTACATATGTAGAGCATGCTGGAGTCGATATACGCCCTTCGTTGTGACTTCTTGTGCCTCCAAGATACACAGAGCAAGCGGTCCTGGTCGAGAGGTAAGCCTGTGCTATTGGGTTGTTCCCTTGGTTTGCATGCCATAACTTTATAACACAGCATTTAAAAAAAGTCGGTTTAGCACTGAACCTGTTACAGTCGCTCTTTGACCGATTTCTTGTGTGTGGTGGCAGAAAACGTGGTAACAGACAGACAGACACTCACAAACAAACTACCGCAACCCTTGCTGCGCATGCACGCTGAGGGTTAATAAAACCATAGTAACCATTCATGAGGGTTGCAGAAAGTAATTTAAAAACCTTGTTTACATGAACACCTAGTGTATATTGACATCGAAAAGTTGCTCAACAATGATTTGAGTAAACGGCATTTGCCATCAACATTGCACGAGCTAGAGTTCAGTATTAGTTTGCTACCAGTGGCTCACAGGTGTGTCAATGAGGTTGAGGAGATATCTGTGTCCCCTGTGGAGGTGGACCATGGAGGCAGACTGGGCCTTGACTGTTATCCCCCTCTCCCTCTCCACTGGCAGATGGTCCAGCACCTGCCTCCCTTCTTTTATCACACCTGGCGGAGGTGGAACGACAGACAGGGTGCAGAGGAGAATTTAACAATATTATGACATCTATTGAAATAGCAGAGGTTTGCCTGTACGCTGAATGCAGGTGTATACTTATGACTTATGAAAGAATAGTGTCATTTCTGGGCAAAATGAGTCGAATATTACCAGAAAACATGCACGTCAGGCACCATGGAAAAGAGTTGTATACTAGGTGAAATAAGGTTTATACATACTTACACTCGTGCACTGTATCATTTGATGCACGGTCCACTACTCTACATGTATATACCAATCGCTCCATACACCATTATCTTACAAATACATCACACACAGTACCAGTGGTCTCAAGGAGTCTGTCAGCTAGTGTGCTCTTCCCATGGTCCACGTGAGCTACGATACTAAAGTTTCTCACTCGCTCCTCTGGAAAATCCTCGAGAGCTGGTGGCTAGCAAGCAGAGTAGGTAAGAGAGGGGCAAGAGAGAAAAGAGATTATGTGAGTAAGTACTAGTCGATACTGTTTGGTATAATTATACTTACTTCGGTGGAGAAGGCCCTTTGGGTAGAAAGGGTGCCGACAGCAAGCTCACTGTTGTGAGGTACGAAACGTCGGAGGCATTTAGCACATAACCATAGAGCCGCTCCACTGGTGGAGGACAGCCCAGGCGGGGATCGCAACATCATCCTCGAAAGCTAGAGTTCAAAGTTCCTTGAGACATACACGCCGGCTCGCGCATGCGTACATTCTCATTGGAGTCGCGCATGCGCAGCTTAGTTTTCATCGCTAGTTTAACCAAAAATAAACCTCTTCTCTAGTACTTGCACAAACATGAGTGTCAGTACATAGGCAAGTGGGTATAGGCACAGTCCTCATTCAGTGTGCAGCATTCAGGAGATGGAGACAATTTCGATGTCAAACACTAGAGGTGCATTGGGAGGAATTGTGCACTGCAGTCAAGGAAATAGCTATACTAAAAAAAAAAACAACACATTACACACTTTTTTGTGAGCGAATTAAGCAAGCAAATATTTCACCTGTACTTGGAGTAACGTACATAACAGTATGGTATATATGTGAAGTGCTGCAGCACCGGTCACAACATACATATATACACTTGTTGTCGCTCACCAATAATGTCAAAACTTCACCCTAATGGGATTTAGTGTCAACATGTGAGGCTAGCCTTACCCCCCAGAGGGAAGGCTACAGAGTGTAAGCCATACCCTGTCTTTGTGTTGTATAGAGAGAAAAAACACACATACAATAACATGTGGCAGAGGGTAAAAAGCAAACAACCACACAGCCACAACCTGTATGGTCACAGTATAGTTATACAGTAGGGGACAGTGAAAGGATATCCCCATGCCGGGAATCCACTGGAACCATAGGCCTTCTCTGCACTCAGACTGAACCGAGCCCCCTCTCCAACCTTCATAGTCAGACATCCATCGTCCCAACCTACACAGGGAAGGGCATATAGCATTGGGATTAGCCATTCTACACACATACAGTGCAACCCAACTATAACAACACCTCTGAAACGACACTTTCACTACCCTGAGACGTAGGTCGTGCACGCAATTTAGCCACCTCTCAAGTATGGATAGTCTTATTTCAGGCCCAGATAAGAGGGCATGTCTAACCTTGAATGACTTTTCCCATGCCTACTTGAAAAGAGAAAACTCTCTGACCTGGATCACGTGTGCTGCAGAGAGAGTGATGAAAGCTTGTTCTAGATACTACAAAACAGAGCTAACAAAATTGTGAATCGAATGCAAATAAGTATATCTACTCAAGCAACAGCAAAACCTCCTCCTTTAGGTGGTCAGCTTGCTACCTCCAGAACTTCTTCATGGTGGACTGGAGGTGCCCGGTGCAGTGCACCGTCACGTTGTCTCCCCTCTGCACTGCCCTAGCCCCGGCTGGAGCTTCCTTTAGGACTTGCTTCATCACTCCTTGTACCACCAGCTGCGCCATCGTCTAGCTGACAAACTCTTGTGTGGTCTTTGGGGCACGCTTTAGGGACTCTAATTGAGCGGGAAAAAGCTGTTCGAAATTTCTCCGTGAAGATTGCTCGCTGAATCAGCAACACACGTGGCGGCGCGGGTGCAGGGAAACAAAGGGGACAAAGCGAACCAGACAATCGAAGCTGTGTCCTCGTCAAAGTCGTCTTCCATGATGCCCAAGTTTCTCCTACTCGTCTTACCGTCTCTGCTGTTCGCTGCGTGTCTCGCTGGTGATGAACAGCCTCCCCACTTCGACGAGAGCTACCTCATGGGCATGCGGGCCTACACCCGGGAGGACTGGGCCGTGGCCACTGCTGGCATGCAGCAGGCCGTGAGGGACTTTGAGAGCTACAACGAGGCCAGCCTCAAGTGCCTCAAGCTGTGCGAGAACCAAAAGGTTAGGGAGCGAAACTTGAAAGACTCATAGCTAATCCCCTAGCCTTAGCTACATGTAACGTGCCCATGTTACAAAACAAGTGGAGCATAGGCTGTTTATCTTTTTGAGGCCCAAGCTGAAAACCGACAGCGCTTATAGCTCAGTTTGCTAGTACCTTGAAGGGTTGCAAATCCAGATGGTTCTGTATTTGTGGTATCCCTTGCCATCCCATGGGTCGAAGTACACCATGCAAAAATGGTGTGGTGCAGGCTAACAGTAAACACAGCCAAACAGCAGTGAAGTAACATGCTTGGTGCTAGTTCTCCAAATCAAGAACCAGCTCAAAACACTTCCAGATCGATTGTCGTCGTGATGTGGGGTAGGAAATAGTTTATGTGGACGCTGTCAGTTGGTCAGCCAGCGGCGCCTTAGCAGCTATAACCAGTGCCAAGTATCCGTACTCATTGATGTGACTTATACTCCGGTACTTTTCTATTTGCACATACTACACATTAGTATTAGTTGGGTGCAACTGATGTGTACGAAACGACCTACTGTACAGTATGTACACTCTGGCAAAGTATATGTATGTTGTGTCTGTGTGTGACTGTTGTGTAGGTGAAGGTGCCAGTGGACTACTATGACGACCAGGAGCTAGCTGTGTTCCATGAGATCATAGCCAGAGAGACTTGTATAAGGAACTGCAGGGACAAGGAGGTAAGGGTTATAAGTGCAATGGAACCCCTTTGGTACGTACCTCTAACCTCTTAAAAACTCTTCTCAGGGCACAGCTCTTGCATGCAATCTGAAATACGGACACCCCACTCTTCGGTCCCATTAGGGTCCAGATTAGAAATTTTTGAGTGTGGTTGGAATACATGTTAACCCAAGAGCAAGCATCATCAATATGCGTGCACCATACAACTCGTATGTGGCTTGATACAACTATTTGATGGGCAGGGTTATGCTATCGTTTTACGTCAATAGACACACAGACAGACAGACCAAGTGCTGTAACCCTCGCTGTGCATGTGCGCCGAGGGTTGATAACAGACATACACAACCATACCGTAGGTGGTTGCTCGTACGCTCCGAGGGTTTGCAATACATGCTCATACATACATACCATTTCCACAATCTTGAATGTGCTTATCTTTTTATATCTTATTAACCCTCGGCGCACATGCGCAGCGAGGGTTACTGTAGTCGTCGTGTGTGTCTGTCAGTCAGTCCGTTACTCGACATCTCACTTCACTAGCCGTCAATCGCTCCACAAACAATCATGTTTTCAGCGTTGGGTATAATTATGTCGAAAAATGTGTGGGGTTTTTCTGAAACTGCTGCGTCCGGGAGTTAAAACACGAGCGAAAAAGCCAATATGCTTATTACCTCGAGTGGGTCCGCTTGCTCTGTGTATCTTGAAAGCACAAGAAGTCACAGGAAAGGGCGTGTATCGACCGCTGCATGCTGTAGCTAGCCCGTGTCAGACTCTCCGCGAGCTACGAGCGGGAGACCGGGAGTAAACGTAGTCCATTAGCAGTACCACACGTGCGCAGTTCGCCGAAGGTTTGCACTTTTCATTCGTATTATGATTGCAGGTGGACGTGTACCCCAGAGCAGGGATCACCAGCTATACTATGGACCACATGAAAAACAAGAATGTGTACGACTACCTTCAACTGGCTCTCTTCAGGGTAAACCACACCCTCTCCCCTTCTCTCTCATACTGTTGAAGAGTATATGCGTACAGGCAGAAATTAAATTAACACCCCTTACCCACTATCAACAGACACGCATGTTAGTCCATGAAAATTAACATTGAATGCTGGTTAATTCGTAGTAGGTGAATGCAAGGCATTTGTAGTGAGCAGGATTCCCAGATTGTGGATTTGCCTTTTACTAGGCGCATTGCGTATAGTCGTCCTGCCTGCCTGGCCAGGGTAATGGGCGGACAACAAAATGGTGCTAAAAATTGTGCGTAGGTGTAGACGAAGCAATTGTAACTTGCATGAAGCGAAACAGCTCGACTGGTGTTGCTGGTTCTGTCTGATTGTAGGTGGACCTCGTAGCATTGAGTGAGCGAACTGAAGTACAATTTCAGTAGTTCACGCATAAAAAAATTCAGTATGTATATGTGCACTGACCGTCACATTGAAAATAGACATGCTGCAACAACTAGGTTGGCTTGTTTCCTTTTCAATTGTACTGCACTGCAAGATAAAAAAACTAGGTGAAAGCATTGTATAGCAAGGCTATGAATATTGACCATGCGTGCAACATATATAAAATAATGGTACATGGTTTTTCGACCATAAAAATTGCTTAGTTAGTCTCTTAACCCTACTCACTGTAGTTCCCATGTAGAGTTGTTTCTTGTCCGAAAAAAGGTGTGTTGATAGCCTTACTGTATATATGCACCATCATTTTCATGCACAAACAATCACAGGAGGGCAAGCGTGAGGAGGCAGCCAAGGCATGTGCCACGTTTGTCTACTACAACCCTCGTCACATCAATGCCTCGGTGAGTCTGGTGTTCCACAAGAAGAACAAGAATCTCACCGAGGAGGACTTCATTCCACACAACAAAATGACCTACGTACGTAAGAAATTTTTGTTTGTTGCCAAATTATTTTAGCTTCTTTGTGTGCATTCAGAGTTTCAGGAGGGGTTAACTGATTTTGATCCCCTTTGTTTGTGCACATATCCAAACTTTGAATGCATAGGATTCTACATGTGCGCTTGCAGGTGGTCCTTAACTACTTAGAAACTCATTGCATCATTCTACAATGATGTAATCAGAAAACACCTTCTTCCCCATACAGCATCATTTCTCTTCCCTCCCCTTCCCTCCCTATGTATGTACACTGTATATTATGTCTGGTAAAGGTATCAGCTACGTATCACCCCCCTAGAAAATCATCCTATTTTATTAGAAACACCTTCTTCCCCATACAGTATTCTGTCTTTCATTTCTCTTCCCTCCCCTCCCCTCCCTCTGTATGTACACTGTATATACCTCCCTGCTAGTGTCATATGTACTTTGAGGTATATACAGTGTACATACAGAGGGAGGGGAGGGGAGGGAAGAGACTATCCATGAATAACAAAGTACATATGACACTAGCAGGGAGGTATATACAGTGTACATACAGAGGGAGGGGAGGGGAGGGAAGAGACTATCCATGAATAACAAAGTACATATGACACTAGCAGGGAGGTATATACAGTGTACATACAGAGGGAGGGGAGGGGAGGGAAGAGACTATCCATGAATAACAAAGGACATATGACACTAGCAGGGAGGTATATACAGTGTACATACAGAGGGAGGGGAGGGGAGGGAAGAGACTAGCCATGAATAACAAAGTACATATGACACTAGCAGGGAGTGTATACACAGTGTACATACAGAGGGAGGGGAGGGGAGGGAAGAGAAATGAAAGACAGAATACTGTATGGGGAAGAAGGTGTTTTAGAATGATGCAATGAGTTTCTAAGAAGTTAAGAACCACCTGCAAGCACACACGTACACTCCGATGCATTCAAGGTTTGGACATGTGCACAAAGGAAGGGGATGAAATTGAGTTAACCCCCCCTACTAAAACTCTGATTGCTCACAAACCATCTGTCTTTATTACTCTTTTGTTTTTCCCTCTTCCCTCCCCTCCTCCTCCCTTCCCTTCCCTCCCCTCCCCTCCCCACCTTCCTGCTAGTGGGACCTGTACTACATGGGCAGTGAGCTCTACCATAGGAACCAGTGGCAGGAGCTGGTGGATGTGATTGAGACCTCTCTACAGGAACTGCCCAGGGCTCTCCAGCGGTGCAGGGATGAGTGCTATGGCCCTCTCAGACTTGGCCGCAGAATGGGCTTTGCTCAGGTTCTATTTGTACTGGACCTGGCGTCTTGTAGTGCTTGTGCAGTTAGTATATGTAGTTCTAATATGTTGTGTGGGTACAAAGTGTGCAGCTCATACACTCATTGCGAGCTTAATCAGCAAGTTGTATTTTCAACTAGAGTCTTGTTGTTTGTCGTGATGTTTGGCCCTATCCACCCGAAACCCTAAACAACTTTTTACTGGAAGTGTTCTAATTTGGATGCAGAGAATCTGGTTACCTCAGTTAGGGTAACTATGTCTTTTGCTTTATATTTAGCCTTAGAAACTAGAAAGACGATTGTCTGTGGAGACAAGGCTAGTTTGTGTGTGTAAACTAGCTGTAAGCCCCACAGGCTGCTGATTTTTTTACACCTTCGCTGTATGTCATGCATTTAAGATATATCCAATGCACAGTAATCTTTTGAGGCCTATGCTCAACCAATTCTCTATGTCCCCAGACGGTTATCCACCAGATGATCACACTGAAGGAGTGTCAGAGCCAGTGTATCCACAAACTGGGAGAACTGAGGTTTGACAAGACTGAGGAGTTCTTTGGCAGCTACTTCCACTACCTCCAGTATGGCTACCACATGTGTGAGTCACTCGTACCGCCAAGTCACAATGTACAGAGTGATAATCGGTACGTGACCGCATTCTCTTAACTGTTTCAACGCGGGAAGCGTATACATATAGTCGCCGTCGGACCCGCCCCCCTTTCCCACAGGAGGCGTCTATATATACGCTCTGCCACGTGTCCACATACTTCGCCTTGCGTTTCCAGCCTCAGTTGTTAACAGCTTACCAAACAGCCCATCCTTGCCCCCCGTACACGCCCACTTCCTGCGCGCAATCTCACCGTGCCTGCGCACGAGAAAGCTGCTGCCTATTTCCGCAGATATACTGTTTACTACGCTCAATACAAGCTAGTACAGCTTGCTTTTGCAGAATTGACCCCCTTCTCATGCTGTTTACCTTTTCATAATCACGCAGAGTGTAGAAATCGACGCACTTCCCGGCTACAACTATCACTCGCGTCTAAAAACACAGGATTTTCGGCGCATGCTCATGATTGCAATTGAAGCACACATTTCTGTGCATGCGCTTAAAGAGTTAAGTAAACCACCCCAACCACACTTCCGGTAAGTTTCAGCAGGCTTGTTCCTACCTAGTAGTGAGCGTCTCCCCACACAAACTGTGCCAGCGGTTGTATACACCTCTACATATTGGAGTCTACATATACCACGTTTCAAGATGCTGGCACGTTGAATTTTGGCAGCAGAGGGTGCTGCCCACGAAGGGTCCCGCACAGAGGACTTTTTGTACCCCCCTCGGAGCACAACGAACATTATACCAGTCCGTAGCACTGGAATAGGGTTACAATGTACTGGTTTTGCATCATCGCTTGTGTATGCGCATGTGTGGGTCTCTAGTGCCCCATGGAACCAAGTAGCCATACCCACTACCTCTAGTATGGCTACCATGTGGTGCTATACAACTGCCCCATATGCAATGTCTGGCTTTCCTGCGGGTTTTAATATCTGTTTGTTCTACCTACAATCTTCTTCTTTCAACTTCAACTACATGTCTGCAGTGAATGCCAGTCTGCCAGCCATCCAGGCATCGGCCACACAGCTACAGTTGGAACCCCACAGTGATGTGGCCAAGAAAAACGCTGTCTTCTACCGACAGCAACATGGAGTCACTCGCAAGGACTTTATTCCACGAGAGGTATGTGAGTATTGGTGCACTTTTATTGAAATGTCTGTACATGTGGTATACATTTTGTAGAATATAGAAAAGGTACTGCATGTAATCATATGTATGGTATTGTAATATGCATAAGTGTATGTATCTCGAATGTTACGGTGAATCATGTCTTTCTGCGGGATTTTGCTACATGTGACTTGGTTATTATGGCGAGCAGGAGTGCCGAAACTACAGATATGCAGCCATGGGTGACCATGAAAAAACATGTTTGTAGCATACTAGCTAAAAGAATAATATCAGAGGAAAAGAAAGAACCTCCCCCACCCAAGCACACAAAACACGGACAATAACATACCCAAGCATACAAAAACACAGACAATAACATATAAACATAACGAAAGAGGCAGGATCCTGGGTGCCCAGCCTTGAGAACTGGGGCGGTAGGTTAAAGAGTCTTTTATGGGCCCAACTCTCCCTACACACCCAGTGTCCCAACCTCCCTTACACATAGTAAATAGATAGAAATCATGTACAAAAAAACGACAGCTACAGGATAAAAACAACAGCCGGTAGAAAAAATATATAGCCTCAAAGGACCAATAAACTCATAGAAAAATATAAAAACTCTGAACTCACGCAGCACGACGACACGACGGAGACATAAAAACGTGTGATTACTCTAAATAACGCACAGCATATACACGTGTAAGAAAAATAGAACTTCTAAAATAAGATTAATAGTTCTGTCGATTTAAATAACGCACAGCATATACACGTGTAAGAAAAATATAAATAATAGTAGAAATGGCGCGAGTTCACAACGTTGATTAGCAGAATGACAGCTACAGTGATGGCAGTTCTTCCTCCACCGCTGACCTATAACAGGAAATAATAGTAGAAATGGTAGAAATAGAAATGTTAAAATAGATTATCCAAAATATATAATATGTGACTATAAATATACATTCTATCTATGCGAGACATGGCGGCTGAGGAACCTATCCATTGCTGGCAGACATACGTATACCATCCTCCACATGTTTGCGTATGCCGCAGCTATATTTTAATCATAATTTGTGCGTGCTTTGCACAGGAGGATCAAAGCTTTTCGCATAGCTGTCCTCTGCTGCTGGATGTGTGCCTCTCTTGTGTGCATCAGCGGCGACAAAGGCATTTTTCCTGCTACTTGGGTTCTTTCTGAAACACGACGCTGCCTCCTGCAAGCTCTGTCTCTCACTAGTCGTAACCCCCGCTTTGCCTGATAAGTCACGTCCATAAGTATTACGTACAGCAAACAGAATGTGTGTAAAAGTTAACACTGCTGCGCGTTAGAGTGGAATGTTGTGCAGTGCGGCAATGCGGGTCACAAACATATAAGAAATATTGGTGAAACAGACAACTATTTTTGCTTTCTCCCGCTCCCATTAATAGTAGTAGTCTAGCATTGTCGCCCCCGCACTGCCTGATGAGTCACGCTCCAAAAGTATCTTGTCAACGGCAAACACGTTTACAAGAATGTGTGTAAAATTGGGAAATTTTAACACTGCTGCTTTAAATTGGAATGTATTGAAGTGTGGCAGTGGCAGTGGCAATGCAGGTCACAAACATATAGAAAATATTAGTCAAATATGCAACTAGTTTTGCTTGGTCCCGCTCCCAATAGTGGTAGTAGTCTGTCCTAAAAGTCAGTCAGCCTTCTTCTTAACTTGTACCATCGTTCTTTAATCGAACTTAGTAATGTATGGTCGTTCCCACCGTCCAACTCAAACATGGATTGGTCATGGCCACGCAATCCTGCACGTAACTGTATAATATCACTAGCCACTAGTTATGTACGTACACTTTGGAGGTGACTTTTGATGAGCATCACAGAAAAAACTCTGAGAACTTGTTTGTATTGTGTTGTGTTGGTCTAACATTGTCATAACACCCGAAAAATAAATGTATGTGACTCTGAAAATATAATTTCAGTGTGATTTGCGCATAAGTACGTTTTGCAATTTTGTCATTTTGCATGCCGTAACAAAACACATTGTGGCATACCGACACTACAAGTCCATCATACAAAACCCTGAATACACAGAACCCTGAATGTCTAGTTATAGCTTATGCTAATTGCAGTGAACAAAAGTGCTAAAGTTGTGCTAATACTACTATAGTTGTCCTTGTATCTTCTCTACTTCTTCATTGAGTGCAGACAACACATGTCACCTCCTTCTCAATGTCGTATGGAGGACAATTGAGGCTGTTGCAAGTTGCCTCCACATGGTAGTACTGAGCATTGTTGGTATCATATTCATTCAATCCAGGAACAGACTCTGGTTGATCATCAATACACTCAAACAGTGTACGACCATTGTGGCCGTAATATGCTGCCATGAGGTATCCATTGTATTCTGTGGTCCAGTTGGTGGGGCAGCTCAGTTTGGCAGGTATCACTAGTAGTTTACTTCTGATGGAGGTGCAACAAACTGCACACGGTATGTTGTGGTTGTTTTTCCCTCCAAATGGCTGGTTTGTAGTGGCTCGATACTTTGCTCCCCTGAGGGGACTATAACCTTGTGCTCCACCATGATAACGGGAGTACTCTGGATCATCTGGCAGACATAGAAGATTGGCTGCACCTCCATGATTGTCGCGGTGAGACCCCCCAGCTCTTCCAGAGTAGACTAGTGTTGTTCCCTGGTCAGAGGGACAGGAGGTCCTCCCCCAGCGAGTGTACACTGTTCCTCCTCCTGTTGCTGGACCCTGTGGACCAGGCAAACCTTGAGGACCAGCCAGACCAGTGAACCCACGACTGCCCTTGTCCCCCACTGGCCCCCGGGGACCAGATATTCCGGGAGGTCCCCGAAAACCAGGCAGTCCCCTCTCTCCCGTGTCTCCTGGCAACCCGGCCAGTCCTCTGTCTCCCTTTGCTCCTCTCTCTCCCTTCCCACCATCTCTTCCTTGCTGACCATCTGGATCTTGTTGACCCTGTTCTCCTGGAACACCAGGCAGACCTCTGTCTCCCTTTGGTCCCTGGGCTCCTGGCTCTCCCCTCACACCATCTCTCCCGTCTCTGCCGTCTCTTCCTCTCAGGAGCTCCACTTGTGGACAGGTGTGGGTTTCTCCATCACCACTAGTATTGCTTGGGTCTCTCTCCAGAGAATGGGCTGTGTATAGAGTGAGAAGTAAAGATGTTGCTGGTCATCTTAAAGGAAATGTGGCAGTATGTATAATAGTAGAAGCTGTTACTGAAAAAAGAATAACAATGTAGCCCTTATAATTATACTTCTACATTCCCTTAACTAGCTATTTATGATCGTCATACCTGCAGTCAGTGAGCAGATCATCGTCACAGCTAGTGTAGCTGGCATTATAACCTTTAGAACAACTCCCATTTTTTCCCTTTCAGTCACCAGCTTTTTGTGATGTACTCAGATCGTTTTGGCCACTTTTATTTGAAGGAGACCGTGGGGGCTGTCTTGTTTTACTACACTAGATTTTTTTATCACTACCCTTCTTTTGCTCCTACACATTTTTCTCTACTGCTTTCTTGGTGCTCCTACACGTTTTACTCCATTCGTGTTTTACTCCACTGCTTTCTTGGTGCTCCTACACGTTTTACTCCATTCAGGTTTCACTCCACTGCTTTCTTCGTGCTCCTACACGTTTTACTCCACTTCTTTCTTGGTTGTCTTATACACAGCGCTGCTTTCTTGGTTCTCTTACACCTTTTACTCAACTGCTTACCTGGTTTTCCTATGTACACCTTTCACTCCACTGCATTCTTGGTGCTCCTACGTAGATTTTGATGCTCCTACACGTTTCACTCCTCTTTTTCCTGCTCATTCCACTCCACTACTTCCCTGCTGCTGTTACACGTTCCTCTCCACTACTTGTGACCTCTTCTGTGACAGGGAGAAGATGCAATTACGTTAGCAAAACTCATTTACTGCCAGTTTTCCTCTTTTACAGGCTAAGTTTATAGAAACCTAATTGCATCCTTGCACTGGATCCCATCAAAAGTTATCCCTTATCATGCCTTTTAATCCGTTGTGCACAGACAGGTTATCATCATTAAGCGGTTGCGAAAAAAGGTACCGGGTATCGAACTCGGGGCCTTTGGTTTAGCAACGCAACACAACACACTACACTACAGTGAACAGTGCACATGTAGTGCACCAAAGTATAGCTACCCCTTATATGCAAGTTCGTAATATGCTGTACCATGCAGAATGGCATATTTGTTTGATATGTGGGCTTTGATGCAAAGAATATTTCCTCCTTTAATTTATGGCTACTCCCCACTTTTTGTCCCACGTAGCTCTAAAATGATGTTTGAATAGCTGCATTTTTTGCGTTTTGCTTTTTTGCTTCAAAGGGCAGGTGTATGATGGGCATAAGTGATAGTATATATGCAATGTATCCCCTCACAAAGATTGTGCAGATATTGCACTTTAAAAATTGTAGGCAATAATATAGAGTGTTCATAAGCACACAAAGTCAGTATCCTGTACTGCCATGTTGCACAGGATGTACAGCCACTGATAGAGTCCATGGATCTGGAGCATTCCTTCATGCATGTCCTGGATGAGTTGTCAGGTCATCTGGAGCAGTTTGGGGAGGAGAGACAGGGAGGAGAGGAGGGACAGGACGATGCTGAACTGGTCAGAAACTGTTGCTGCTGGTGTTTATCATCGCCTACGTATTAGCTCTTAACAAAAGTTTAAATATTACGTATGTCTTACAACACTGCTTGTGTTTATCATGTATTAGCTCTTAACAACAGTCTAATAACAGTTTGTGCCTAAGACAATAATCAGAGCGTCGGTAGACACTCTGTCGCGTGTGAAATCTTATGTGATCCGCGTACAAACGCCTCCAAACTCGACTTGGCGAGAACGCCTTTGTAGACCTTTTAAAAACACTAGCAACAACTCTTGGACCCATCTCTAGCTAATTCACATGTACAAAGTCTATTGTAAAGTACTAGCGAAATGCAAAAAACCACAAAAATGTGGCCACAATAATTTTCACTCTAAGGTGTGTATAGTTTATAGTGTATATAGTCTGTGTCTTTATGATTTTCAGCTGGACAATGACTTCTTTGCCTATCCTCCTGCCAATATGCCACAAGCAGAAGAATGGGAATGGCAAGAGTGGAATAAGGTGTGTACATCAGACTCCAGTGTGTGAGTGGGCACATTTTTTGCCAGCCATAGTCCAGTCTTTGTGTTCTGTCATGATTTTCCATCCCTTCTCTCCTTGCCCCAGCCTGAAATAGTGAGGTTCACAACTGACCCAGACCGTATGCTGGCAGACAATGTTTTATCTCAAGACCAGTGTGACAAACTACTAGAATTGACCAAGGTAGGATATCATCATTATATCGTAATTATTATCGTAAACTTGAACGTTTTTGCGAACATTGAAATTATGTCAGTAAGAATAAAGAAACAGTGGTAGCGGGTCCCTGTGGCCTTGTGTAGCTCTCCAGTTAGCAGAAAATGTTGCCGTGGCTGAGTTCGTAGTTCTCTCGCACCATTATCTGTGTACATCGAAAGCCAGTTTAGGAAATTCTATGATGACGGAGCACTCAGCAACAAAGTCTGGTATAGCTTTCAAGTGCATGGTTGGATATTTATAAATAGTGCTTTGGAAATGGACGATGTCTGACAGTTTACTGAAATGTTGTATATAGTTAATCAGGTTCATATATAACAATTGCAGCACTGTAAGGAGGGAGATGGCTACCAACGCAAGGCCCCCCACACTTACAACGAGCTCTTTGAAGGACTCAACATTCTTGATGCAGCCAAGGTTTGTATTAATATGTAGTACCATGCCGCTTTCGTGCATGGCAATCACGAGTGATGTCTTACTACATAATTATGTGTTTTGTTATATGAGCTCTTGACAAAACCAAAAACTAAGACCTAAAATGCAAACCACGTGTAGAAACGATAAATGAAAAAGTTTGCATGCTCCTTCCATGGCGGATCTATACCTTTATAGTAAGAGAGGGTTAGTGCCTTAGTGGGACCCTTGGAGCCTGCGCACGCTGATAACCAACACTGATCCATTTGAACACTTTTTGGCCATGACATGAGGGCAATAGGGCAACGCCCGCTGGGGCACTGCTGTCAGACTATACTTACCTAGCTGTAGGACTGTTAGAGGGATGTCTAACTACTCTCCTAGCTGTAGGGTCATGAGTAGTTGTGACTGTGCTGCCCAAGCTGTAGGACTGTTTGAGTAATAGTCTGACTAGACGATGCCCAAGGTGAAACCCTCCAAACAGGCCAAACAGCGACTGGATCACTGTAGCCATGCCATCTTACTAACCAGTGGCCACTGGGAAGCCTTTTGGCTGGGGAGTCTGGTGCCCCTTGTCTCTGCCAACCTCAGCTGTGTTAAAGCAAATGCATCAATTTTGGCATGCCGGAGCGAACCTACAACTGCATCTGCATTGTACGTGTGAAAGGTTCTGTGTTTGTAGGATATTTCCAAAAAAACTACAGATTCATTCTCTTCGTGGGAACTGAAGAAGAGCCTCTCTCTCTGTTTCTGCTCTCAACTCCTCCCTATTTACGGCGGGCATGCCTCTCTGAGTTGGCAGCAATTCTCTGCTCTTCATTCCTGAGTAGAAACTGAAGGCGGGTTGTTATGCACTAACCCGAGATGTTGCGAGGGGCCGGCCGTTGGGTCTAGCACACAACACAAAATCATCATGACAGTACAACTCATGCACATTTATGGGCGGTCTGACAATGCATACATGACTGGTTACGCAACACAATGACGATGCACACATGACTGGGTTACAATATAACAGGCATACAGGCCTGCAGGGTCCAGGTTACCACACGGGTCTTGTTGCTGGACTCTGCAGCGATTCGTCTTGCCTTCGGAGCTGTTCTAGTCCGTTTCCTCTTTTTCTGTAGCACGTCTCCCTCTCTTTCTTGATAAACTTATCACTAGCCTTTCGTCTGCTGTTTTGGCACGGATGTGTTCCCTATACCGCAATCAGCGTTGAGAAATCTGAGCCTCTCTCTGCTCAGGAGTCTCACAGGCATGACTGTTCCACTGTGAAGAAAAAATCACTCACTGTGGCCGTGGTGACAAACACATACATAATCAACCAAGTCATTTTTCCATCTGACTGTGTCTGATTGACAGTAGCAAATTTCATCATTCAAACTAAACTTTACACTATCGTTTGTACCTTCCCCATAAATACATAGTGTCTATAGTGTATCATATGTGAGCGCATCAAGTAAAAATAGGGGCTATGACACACAGGGACAAGTAGAAAAACGAATAGAGAATTTGCATGCGTGATATGGTGACGATTAACCACACCAGAACTGCGCGAGAGCATTACGCGCAACGCGCATTGCGCTCTACGTAAGGGATTTCCCTTCCGCCCGTGTATGGCTCGTGCTATACTCGCGTACACAGGGAAACATTATAATGTGGCGAACACCCTATTTTTACTTCATGCGTTCACATATGTTACTACAATTACACAGAAATCCCAAGAGGGAGAGGTTGTTCCAGAGCTGTCTCAACTGTATGTCAATGCCAGCAGGAGGTCTCGAGATGCAATAGCCAAGGAATTCAATCTCCAAACTCCACTCTATTTCTCCTACACCCACTTAGTCTGTCGCACTGCCAAAGATGGTATGCCACACCCACCATTCATTCATTGTCTGGACAACTAAATGATCTGGCTTTTTTGCACATATTCTGAAGGAGTGCTTTAATTCTAGCTGAAACGCTGCTGCGCAATAGTGAAATGTTCCAAACGCTACACTCTAGTATATATGTTTAAGGAAAACACATGCTTAATGTGGTACTTAGCTACCGGAGTGGTACTTATCGTCTTTATGCTGGATTTTTCCACATACTATCTGCCTGTAACGTACATCGGGCCCTACATCTACAGAGTGTGTAAAATTGAAAAATGCTCATTTTGTTTATCGAAAATGCATTATACTGTATCTGTGGTAATGGCTACTGACCACCACACCAACCCCTCCCTGCAGTGGTGGAGAGGAGAGATCTGAGTCATCCAGTCCACTCTGATAACTGCATCCTGAACGAGGCCACTGGAGAATGTGACAAAGTCCCTCCTGCCTACACCTGGAGAGACTACAGGTCAGTGGAGGGAGGGAAGGGATGCGGGAAAGAACAGGAGGTAGAGAGAAGGGGTGGCGAGAATTTGATTGGCTGACCAATAACATCATGTGATTGGCTCTTTTGCGAGAGTTAAATTGAACGGACAAAAGATCGTCCTCATTGTCATCACCACATTTAAATGCAAAACCGGGACACTATTAACTCGGAGCTTAAACAGACACATGCCACTCTCAAACCTGGAAAACAGTTACTTCTCCCTCATTTCCAGTGTACCGTAGTTGTTCAAGCAGTTCTAATTATGGTGAAACCCTCTCCACAGTGCCATTCTGTACCTCAGTGGTGAGTTTGAAGGAGGAGACTTCTTCTATGCACACTCTACAAAAGATCTCTCACCTGAGATATGTGAGTTTGCCATTGCCATGCTGTGCTCCTGAATTAGGCTTAGCTTTTACTCACATAGATCCGTGCTTGAATTGTGCTACCACTGCAAGATCTCGTTTCACATCTGCTTTATCACTAAGTACGGTATATGTATAGTAGTCAAGAATGCACACCGAATAGCATACAGCTACAGTGGTGAAGGCCTGAGAACAAGACCATCCATAGCTGTATAACACTTCAGCTACAATTGAGGAAAGATAATTGTATTGCTGGCTCAGTCTTCTTTAACTCCCATCCACTCTGCCTCTTCCTGTGCCACAGGAGACGGTGAGTCCAAAGTGTGGTCGTCTGGTGGCCTTCTCAGCAGGGAAGGAGAACATGCACGGAGTACTGGCTGTCACCAAAGGCAGGAGGTGTGCCGTGGCTCTCTGGTTCACCCTTGACCCCAACCACAAGGAGGCTACCTTCTCCATGGCTGAGGAGATTCTCCACGAGATTAAGACTGTTTCATGATAGGGATTTTGTCTACCACTGATTCAAATTATGTTGTTCTTTTCTCTTTTGTACCAATTATGCAGCTGCAAGTGTGGACATTGTAATTCACTTGTGCGTCACTAGATATATGACAAAGACCATCCCTATTGTGGCATCAGTATATCGCGTTATGGGTGTGGATTAGTTAGTAAAAGGTCTGATATTCTTTCTAAGTTAAGCTTCCCTGTGAAGCCTGTATAAATGTTCTTGTCTGACCCTCAAAAGCGCAAGCTGTGGAGGGAAGGAGAAGCCAAGACTACTTATTTGCAGTCATATGACGTACACCTTGTCAGGGAGTTAGAGCAAGAGTGGTGGCTATATAGTAGTTGAACATTCAGAACTACTATCATGTTTGAAGAATTGGATATCTTCTCATCTAATGGCCATTTCTTCTTTTTATAGCTACCCTCTCTGACAGTCATATATTGGAACAGCCATGACATTGACTGTGGTT